AATCAGGTTTTCAAAGAAAGGAAGACATTTTTCCTTCCTCTTTCGATTGTAATCATTCTCTCCCACTAACCCCTTTTTGCTTTTGCTGACGTTCAGGAATGTCTCTGTGTGTGTGAGTTTGAGGGGATATTTACTTCTGAAAAAAATGGTAAAGAACAGCGTCTTCTCTCTCTGACAGGAATTTCTCACAGAGGATCTTTCATTCTTCTCCTTTGGATACGCATTCATGTGTGCAGCTCAGGGCAGCTGGCCACAAGTTCCTTTAAAGTCGGCATGAAACAGAAGTTGAGATAGTCTTTTCTTCCCTATATGTGAAACGGCTTCTTGATCAAGAGAAATGAGGGCGGGGCTTGATTCGGTCCATTGGGAATTGATTGGTTTGCTACTGCTGTGATGTAATGTGATTGACAGGTTGTCCCGCCCTCACGCTATAAACACATCACCAGAGAAGAGAAGTGATGTTGTTGCAATAGGGAAGGGGAAGTTGTTTTGATAAAAGATAATTAATTGATTGATTGATTAAAGAAAATAATAATGTGCACAGATAAATCGTTTGTAATAAATACTTCAATATTCCACCCACTCCCCTCCAAAAAAAGAAGAAGAATGATTTCATGGTGACTTTAAAGCGGCGTGTGTAAACTATCAGCTTGTGCAGCTGGCTGGACGAATCACATCAACACAAACAATAAAACACAACTCACTGCGACACATCATCAAATTTAAAGTAAAGTCTTCTGACATGACCAGTTATCAAAATATGACTCATTACATGCAAATTGGTCTGCGTACTGTAATCCGGTCTCTCTATGCCCTAGATACCTGCACGTGAGGAGTAACTAAATATTGTAGAGGAATCTAATTGTTTCAGAGGAAAGTGAATGCTAAACATCGCTCATGGCGCATGTCCCGTTCCTGTCAAGGATTATTTTGGTCTACTAGCATCAGAGGCACCAAGCCAGAGGAAAATGTTATTGCTCTGTTATTGCTTTGTGATGCTCTTCCACATGAGGCATATTGGAGTTTCATTGAGGTTTCTTAGTTTCAGATGTTTGTCTTTAAATTTCTTAGAAATTAAAAAACAAGAGACAGTTGTTGACATAGTAAGTATACAGAACTAGGCCTATACATTTAATTTGATTTGCACAGCTCAAAATTTGGTCTCGGGAGATTTTGATAGGATACTTGGGAGGTTGGGATACTTCTTTCTAAACTCCAGAGGACACAGATGTGAAATTCCTGGGGTCTTTTTTTATGATAAAAAAGTGTAGACTATATATACACACTACAGTTCAAAGATTTGAAATGATTAAAATGATTTAATTTGTTTTTTTGTTTTTAAATTTGAGGGAAGTTTTATTCTTTTTGGGAAATTAATACTTTTATAGCAAGGACGCATTAAATAAAAAGCGACAGTCCTAAAGACATTTATGCTTTTACAAAATATTTGTATTTCCAATAAACGCTGTTGTTTTGAACTTTTTATTAATATTTTATATTCTATTTAAATAATCCTGAAAAAAATCTCGGCCTATCATGTTTTCCACCAAAATTTTAAGACGCACAACTGCTTTTAACATTGATAATAATAATAAGAAATGTTTCAATAAGCAAATCAGCTCATTAGAATGATTTCTGACTGGAGTAAATGACTGCTGAAAATATATATTGGCACCCAAACTCGCAATTTGACAAGATTGTTCTTACCCAAAATATAACAGTATTTCACATTAGTTTAGTAGTTTAGTTTAGCATATATCAGTAGGCCTACTTATTTCCAAGATCAAAGGGATTTTTTTTTTTTTTACCAGGCTAGTAACTTTAAATAAAAACTTCAGACCATGTATTCCTATGTAGATTATATTCCAAAGGTCTCTAAAAATATGCCAGAAAGCCATCTCCTGGTTTTATGTGGAGTTTTTTGTCTGATATGTGCTTCATCTTATAGGATCTGTCTCCCCCTAGTGGCGCGTAAGTGGTTCTTAAGTTTCTCAAACAATCACATGAGGAAAGAATATAAATATTTAATATTTGATTAAAACAGTGCTTCAATTTCATGGTTCATCAGGGTAAAAAATAAGTTCCTCAAAATAACACTAGTTCTTCTGTGTGCTGTCCAACACAAGCGGTAATCTGAACCCTCATTTCAAACATTATCTATACGACAGTCCAGTATAACGTAATGGCATATTTGTATGGATTTTGTAGGCACTAAAATCAATTATGGAGCCACAGCCTTCAAGACGAGCTCCTAAACGCTGATATCCCTAATGATGAGCTTCCCGTCGCTGTTTACAGAGTCCAGCAAATGCCTATTAGGGCATGACTGCAGGGGTCGAAGCCCCTTAAACTTGTTTAATCACTCTCTGAGACCAGTCAAAACAAAAGTGGGATGCAGATCCCAGATCAGCCCTGGTCTTATAACTATTACTTAGTGACAAGCCTGACTGACCCTAAGACAGTTCAAAAGTCTCGACATCAGCAATGGCAATCAGAGCATTTCACTCTGATCTCTGTCTTACATCTCGAGTTACACATAAAACGTGTATGTGAGCCTCTGTTTTGGCCTGCGTTTTAAAGGAACACTCCGACTTTTTGGGACTTTAGCCTATTCACCTTATCCCCCAGAGTTAGAAAAGTCCATACATACCTTTTTCATCTCCGTGCGTGCTATAAGTCTGTTTGACGCACCCACCGCTAGCCTAGCTTAGCACAAAGACTGGATGTAAATGGTTGCAGCTAGCATACTAATCCAAATAAGTGACAAAATAACGCAAACATTTTCCTATTTACCTGTTGTGATTTGTATAGTCACAGAGTGTACAAAAAACGAAGTCACATGAGACAGACATATTTTAACCGTATAAATACTGGGAACTATATTCTCTGAAGGCGAAGCACTGCTACTTGGGCGGAGTGATAACCGCAGCACCTGAGACGCGCCGTGGTGAGGAGCAGAGAGCGCGTCTCGGGTGCTGCGGTTATCACTCCGCCCAAGTAGCAGTGCTTCGCCTTCAGAGAATATAGTTCCCAGTATTTATACGGTTAAAATATGTCTGTGTCTCATGTGACTTCGTTTTTTGTACACTCTGTGACTAAACAAATCACAACATGTAAATAGGAAAATGTTTGCGCTATTTTGTCACTTATTTGGATTAGTATGCTAGCTGCAACCATTTACATCCAGTCTTTGTGCTAAGCTAGGCTAGCGGTGGGTGCGTCAGATAGAGTTACAGCACGCACGGAGATGAAAAAGGTATGTATGGACTTATCTAACTCTGGGGGATAAGGTGAATAGGCTAAAGTCCCAAAAAGTCGGAGTGTTCCTTTAACACAGCCCTCTGGGGTTATAAGGGGCCCCTGCAGCAGTGTAGCAGAAGGCCAGAAAAATACATTACGCAAGTATGCAAGTGCAAATGCAAATGTTTCTTTGACCAACGCATTGTAAGCATGGGGCTCTGTTAAACATCCTATAATTTACTCACCCTGAAGCCATCCTATAGGTGTATCTTTCTTCTTTCATCTATGTCAGCTTTATAACGGGAGTGAATGGTGTCTTGTTTTTTGAAGCCCAAAAAAGGGCATCCATCCATCATAAAAGTAATCCATACTGCTCCAGGGGGTTAGGCCTTCTGAAGCTGATGCGTTTTTGTAAGAAAGATATCCATTTATATAACTTTAATCACTAGCTTCCGATAACGTCCGTCCGCGCGTTCAAGAGAGTCAAGTTCCGGCGTATGACCTATAGGTGAGAATAGACGCTTGCGGTCAAACAAATAGGGCTGGGTAACAAACTCAAGCTCCTCTGACATTTCTCTTTAAAAATTCTCGTTTTAGACTTGTAATTTGTGACCTGTGTTTTGTTTTGCTCTGTCCTTTGCACTTCCAAGTTCGTCAATACGTTATGTGTCGGGCTAGAGTTCACTCTTTCGCTGGAACTAGACTCGCATATAGCTACAGCTCAGAGGTTGGGTCATAAAAATTACACCATAATCTATTATTAGCCTACGTACCAGTCATTTAAAAAATAATAATATTTTTTTAAGGATAATAGCCTAAGCCTTTTAATAGGCTTTGTTTTTGTTCACATTTCCATTTTTATTCACAAAATTACAGGACAAGCATGAATTTATTTATTTATGAAGAGACTGGTCACTTTTCAGGTTACATCATAAAGGTTTGTCCAAAAAATTGCAATAAGCTTTGTGCTTTGTTACTTTTGATAAGAAACAAAGTCTCAGCTTTCAAATTCTGTATACATTTTAAGACAAATTTCAAACAAAAATAGCCTACCGTTTAATATGGCGCGCGAGATACTGCCGAGTGAACAGATCATCCCTTCCTCTTTACTATGTTACAGAACAAAATAAACATACATGGACATTAGAAAATATGTTGAAAGATACAGTCCAGCTTACCAAAATCCGTGTCTCATGTAATTGCTCAATCAGTGTTTACTCCAATATTATGAAGCTGCAGACTCGGAGCCTGCATCTACAGTCCCCCACCGAGAGTCCCGCATTCTCAGACCCCTCGTTTTTCGAACACAGCGCCTCCTGCTGTTCGAAAGATCGTATAACACCCGCACACAGAGTACAGCGCACGCTTATCCAAATGCAATTAAAAACAATAGGATGCAATATTACGGTCTCCAAATAAATGATCCAATAAATATTTGCGTTCCCTGCAATATTACGGTCTCCAAATAAATGATCCAATAAATATTTGCGTTCCCTGCTTAATGCATGTGCCAAAAAAAACAACTCATTGCGATGGAAGGGATACAATTACAGATTGAACTATCTTCTAAAAAATAGTATGTGATATTATATTGCTACAATGTTTTTTTTTTATATTTTTTTTATTCAAATTCCAATTTTTCTTTCAGTTCAACCTATAATGGTCTAATTAGCATTACCATGCTAACATTACAAAATCTGTTTTTTTGATATTTTGAATGCGAAGCAAAATAAATCAGAATAGACAAAACACCAATAATAAACAATTCTGTACTTTATTTAATGATCACCTAAACATCATCTTGCTGTAAAGAAAAAAGGAAGAAAAAACTGTGTTCGTGACTTTACTTTTCGTCTTCAATTGCATTAAAAAAACTAATTTATAAGTCGCTTTGCATAATCATAAAATGATATGTTGCTGGGTTCGGCAGGGGCGACTCCATCGATGTATGGTGTAGCCTACCCTGGAATAGCCTACAACAGTAGGCCCGATAGCACATGTCTTATGATGTTTCAAAAAGAAAGAAAGAAAAAAAAGAAAAAAGATGTTTGCAAATGTTACCTTCATGTTGCACTGCTCTGTTGAAGTGAGATGTTTTTGAACTTTGGACAACTTTGTGGGTTTGAAATATATGGGGGCACAAAATGGGCAGTGAAAATCACTGCAGCATTTATGACATATCTACAAAAAGTCCAAGGTTAAAGGCTAACGTTAACTATCAAAATATTGTCGGGGGGAAGAGGGCGAAAAACCATACATTAACGGCTCAAATCTTGTTACAAACTATCTTTACAAATATTAAATGGACTATTCATATGTTGTATCGATGAGCTAAATTAGTTTTATTAAAAAATAAATCAGGCTACTACGATTCGCTAAATAAAATTGAAGATAGCCTATACGCACGTTTTGGCTTAAGTTCTTCACATGTTTATCCGATACAATTTGATAGGAGGCGCTGTCTCTAAAAACGAGGGGTCTGAGAATGCGGGACTCTAGGTGCAGGGGGACTGTAGATGCAGGTCTCCGAGTCTGCAGCTTCATACTACTCGTTTTAACCGCAGAAAGACGTCAATCAGCTTGTAGAAAAGCCATTCGCTGCGTCCCAATTCGCCTACTTATACTACGCCCTAAAAGTATGTACTCTTTTTGTGAAGAAAAAGTACATACTTTTGAGTGTGTAGCAAAAGAGTAGGCAAGCTTTGGGACATACTACTTCGTCATCTTTAACGGACAGATCTGTCGCGTGAATCATATCACCGTAAACTGCCCTGTCAATCATCTCGTCACAGTTAAAATCCTCCATTCAATCTAATATAACTTCTTACCATTTCGGAGATAATTGTTGTCGCACGTTCATCTGCCAGTCATGGGTCTTTCATGCGGAGACTCTCCTCATGTGTTTGGAATTTGAATATAATAATGCATTTAAAAGTTAATGGCTAAACGTATCTTTGCAAAAGTTCACAATGCTGCTGCAGATGCAATATAATGTGGACAACATTGAATAAATACATTTTCGTCAGGTTAGATACTGATAATTAATCACTCAACCCCCTTTATCTAAACCTCTCTACATAACGTCTCTGGTTACTCACGTAACCGTAGTTCCCTGAGAGGAGGGAACGAGACATTACGTATGGGGAAATCCATTTTCCTTGAATCATGAAGTCTGATGGAATAACTCTTTTGCTTGCAAATAGCCAATGGCGGTCCCGCCATCACCTGATTGGCTGACACTGCTCAATATAGGTGACGGCAGGCGCCAAAAACCTCAGAATCTTAGCTGAACGAGAGTAAGGAGACTGAGAGTCCCTCCCACACGGCAGGTTACGTAATGTCTCGTTCCCTCCTCTCAGGGAACTACGGTTACGTGAGTAACCAGAGACGTTCCCTTATCGAGTCGGTCTCTCGACATTACGTATGGGGAACAATAAAACCCCCGCCGCGTGGGAGAAACCCCGCCCAGCTCTCAGGAACAGACACTGGACCTGGTTGAAACATCTATTGGCACAGAGCCAACTCGGCATCTGCACCAACGAAGGCCCCTCCCATCAAGCTAAGCACGCTGAACTGAATGGAGGGAGATTGCAGCAAGTGATTGGTGCTTAGGAAAATACTGCCGGCTATGAATGCGGACATAACAAAGGGCACAATATAGTGAACATGATAGCTATGCTAATAATAACTCGCACTGTCTGACGACTAGTCGAACCGTGGCTAGAGCGCGCGCCATCGGGGCAGTCTAGCCTAGTCCAACGACAGCTCAGCTTTCTCTCCCTGCACTGACAGACATGTGGTGCGAATGAAGGGATATCCAAGTTATAGAATCTCGCGAAGGTATTACGAGACGACCAACCTGCCGCGAAACAAATGTCTTGAATAGACATGCCTTTCGCCCACGCCCATGATGACGCCAAACTCCTAGTGGAGTGGGCGTGCACTCCTATAGGGAAACGGCTTCCCGTGAAGCGTAAGCCAGCCAGTGCACAGCCTCCAGTATCCAGTGAGATAGCCTCCGTTTCGACAGCGCGCCGCTTCTTAGCACCCGCGTAGCAGACGAAGAGCTGCTCTGAAGTTCGAAACTGGCTAGTTCTGTTCACATAAGCACGCAGGGCACGCATGGGGCACAAGCGTACTTCTGAGACTCTGAAACACTGACCTCATCCGGGCAAAATGCTGGAATTGCAACCACCTGGGCTCTGATGAATATACGCAGTAGATAATAGCCCCATAATAGCATAGCACCTCAGTAAACAACAAACACATAGCCGTAGCTACAACTGTGAGTAGACGAGTTAGCACAGAATAGCCAGTTGTACTGAAGGAAACGGGGCAACATAACAGCATAGCACATGTACGTAACAGCATCGGTCGCTGTAGCGCATCCATGCATGTACATAACGCAGCATAAGTCGCCGTAGCGACAGAACTGCGTAGAGACAGAAACTGAGATGTACAGTTCGATCAGGATGGCTAGCTGCACGGAAACGGGGCAGCATTACAGCATAACACATGGTAAATTGCACATCCGTGTACGTACATTAGGGGTGAAACGGTACATGTATTCGTACCGAACCGAAACGGTACGGGCGTCACGGTTCGGTGCACGAATTTACACGGAGAATACACGGTATAAAAATAAATAAAACTCGCGTGAAAATTAATTAATGTAATGCGGAACTACCGTTAGATACGCGGGTTCTTTAGGGACACATAATCTGTACCATCGGCTTAGCTCTGACGCGCGTTCACTTCAAACGTTGGCTTTATACGCGCGTCCTATTCGCTTTGGACTAGCGTCGAACTAGACGCGAATTTGACGCTCTATTCGTGTTTGGTGTGACCGCATAATGAACAGGCTGCGATGTCAAGATTGCAATGCTGGAGTGTGTGTTGTGTGTGTGTGTGTGTGTGTGTGTGTGTGTGTGTGTGTGTGTGTGTGTGTGTGTGAGAGAGAGAGGCGCGGCCGCGATCGAACAGTGGAAACATAAAAAACATACTCCGTCATTTTGTTCATATAGATCATTAAACCTGCAAAGTGTTTACTTATATTTGTGTACACTCGCAATAAAACACAACATTGTGCTTTTGTCACACTGTAAACTCTTGTCAAACTGTAACCTACAACTGTCACCCAACCAAAATCTCTCTCTCACACACACACACACACACAAAAGTTTTAAAAGCAAAACATATTTATCCAACTCCATTTCAAAACAGTCTGTGGGTCCCATCTTTTGGACATTCATCATATCGCATTGGTTTTCATTTCTTGTCCTCGGAGCACTAATCTTACACATTCTACATTGATTAAAAAAGAAAATCGAATGCGTTTTTAAATGGTAGTTTTATTTTATACAGAAATCAATTATTTATAATTCAGATGAGAATAATGTTAAATTGTTAATTAATAATGTTAACTAAAATTAAGGAAAACAAATATATTGATCTGAAATATAGCAAATTAATTTTAAATTAATTCAGGTACAATTACCAAACATATCGCAAGGTATTTTTGTCTTTTTATTAATTTAATTAATAAACGAATTATATAAAACTATTGTCAGTGCACTACAAATAAACTGGTTCTATGCCTTTATTAATAAAACTTATTTAAAAAATACAATGCCTTCTGCATTTTTGTTTTGCTTTTCCCTCCATTGTACCGAAATCGTACCGAACCGTGATGTTTGAACCGAGGTATGAACCGAACCGTGACTTCTGTGTACCGTTCCACCCCTAACGTACATACATTCAGAAACTGTGAGTATGCACAGTAGATTAAGATAGCTAGTTTTGCACTGAAAGAAACAGAGCAACAAAATAGCAACACGCGTCCTTATACGTACATAAGTGCAGTGTAGTCGCTGTAGCGACAAACTGAATATGCAGTTAGATAGGATAGCTGGTTGTTGCACTGAATGATAGAGGGCAACATAACAGCATAACACATCAGTGTGCACATTTTAAACATCTGTGTGTATAATGCAGCTCAAGTTGCTGAAGCGACCGAAACTGCATGAATATGCGTACACAATGGTCCATTACATTGAAGGGCAGCATAACGCTTCAATATCTACACAGATGCAATGCAAGTCGCCGTAGCGACGACTGAGACTATGCACAAGCATAGTTACATTTTTGTGTACAAAAAACACAGCGTCAGAGGCATAGCGAAATCGACTGTAAATACGTAGTTAATCGGAATAGCCGGCTGCACTGAGGATACAGGGCAACATATAACGGCATAAATCATAGACACATATCAATGTACATAACACAGCGTCTGTGGCATCGCGCAACAACTGTGACTACACAGTAAAAGAGTAGCCAGTTGCACTGAAGGATACAGGGCAATATATAGCGGCGTAATAGTTACACATATCAGTGCGTTGTGTGTACACAGCGTCAGTTGCATCGTACAACAATTGTGAATACGTAGTGATCAGAATAGCCATTTGCACTGAAGGATAGGGCAAAATATGACGGCATAGATCATAACACATATCAGTGTGTAGTGTGCACAAACACAGCGTCAGTTGCATCGCACGACAACTATGAATACGCACTGCGTAGTAATCAGGATAGCCATTTGCACTGAATGACACAGGGCAATATATAATGGCATAAATCATTACACATAACAGAGTGCGGTGTGCACAAACACAGCGTCAGTTGCATCGCACGACAACTATGAATACGTAGTGATCAGAATAGCCATTTGCACTGAATGACACAGGGCAATATATAAGGCATAAATCATAACACATATCAGTGTGTAGTGTGCACAAACACAACGTTAGTTGCATCGCACGACAACTATAAATACGCACTGCGTAGTAATCAGGATAGCCATTTGCACTGAATGACACAGGGCAATATATAATGGCATAAAACATTACACATAACAGAGTGCGGTGTGTACGTAACACAGCGTCAGATGCATCGCGCACGAACTGTGAATACGTAGTAATCAGAATAGCCATTTGCACTGAATGACACAGGGCAATATATAAGGCATAAATCATTACACATAACAGTGTGCAGTGTGTACAGCGTCATTTGCATCGCACGACAACTGTGAATACGTACTGCGTAGTAATCAGAATAGCCATTCCACTGAAGGATACAGGGCAATATACAACAGCAAATTCATACAGTGTGCAGTGTGTACATAAACACAGTGTCAGTTGCATCGCGCAACAACTGTGAATACGTACTGCGTAGTAACTAGAATAGCCATTGCACTGAAGGATACAGGGCAATATATAAGGCATAAATCATTACACATAACAGTGTGCAGTGTGTACAGCGTCATTTGCATCGCACGACAACTGTGAATACGTACTGCGTAGTAATCAGAATAGCCATTCCACTGAAGGATACAGGGCAATATACAACAGCAAATTCATATAGTGTGCAGTGTGTACATAAACACAGTGTCAGTTGCATCGCGCAACAACTGTGAATACGTACTGCGTAGTAACCAGAATAGCCATTGCACTGAAGGACACAGGGCAATATATGGCATAAATCATTACACAC